GAAAGAGTACGTATGCAGGGCCTATCCAGACTGCTCTGTCCCTTGCCCCTCTCCCTTACAACTTCCAGCATTCAGAGGCCTAGGAAGTCGTAATTTGGAGCTTGCACCTATACTTATAATACTTTGTATCCTGTGATGGATTTATTCTGCATAAATTCATCTACTCCTTTTTCTGAACCTGGTTAAATTGTCAGCCTCTACAGCATCTGGCAGCAGCAAGTTCCACGATTTAACTGCATGCTGTGTGAAAAAGTACAGCCCTGTTGGTTTTCAACCTGCTTGGGTTTCAGCAGAGCAGCTTACACAGGTGCCTCCCTTTGTGGGCTGAATGCGCAGCATGCCCAGTGCAGGGGGAAGAGGAGCAGCGCAGGCCTCTCCTGTGGTGTGATGGTTTGATAAAGTTGCTAGCTGCTTTTGGGCAGGGGCAGTAAATGGTTTTGCAGGTTTTCCCCCTGGATTGCGGAGTTCTGGTGTGTGATTGGAGAGTAAAATGCTGTGCTAGTAGATGCATATTTTGGCTCTTTCAGACCCCTGTCTCTTTGGACATGTACCAGAGCTCATACATGACAGACTACAGACCGTATGGTGACTACAGGCAGTCCACTGTGCACTCACAGGTACGCTGGGTTTTTCTGTTTTTAGGTATCAGCCAGTCTGCAGCAGTCTGTAGGTACCTTGTGTAACCCACGCTCACACTGTGGACTCTGTTCCCCTCTAGTGGCTGCACTGTAGGTAAAGTGAACAGCTTCCGCCTTTATATCCAGAGCAGTGTGTGGGCTCTTCCCTGCTGCTGCTGACCCATTCAAGGAGGCTGTCACGTAGGAATTGCTTCCTTGTGACTGGTCATCCCTGGGACATATTTAAAAGCAACCAATGGAAAACATAGGAGTGCAACCCAGCTAATTCTTGATGTGCTCCTAAATCCCTTGAGTGCTTCTAAGTCAGTTCCCAGGGGCCAATAGTTTTCACATCTCCTATTCAGGCCATTCCAATGGTTGGTCCAGTTAGAGCCCAGTCCTGTGACTCCTGCTCATCTGAGTAGCTGTTCGTCGCATGAGCAACCCTGTGGACTTCCCTAAGGCTGCTGTACTGAGGAGCAGGTTCAGTCCCCTTTCTTCCTGCCTTGCATTCAGGAGACCAGTTAGCAAGGAGATTAAAATTCATCCAGAAAGCAAACTCTGCTGTGGAGGAAGGAGCCGGGAGAGGCTCTGAAGACAGGAGGGAAGTATTTGTTCCCCTCCTTTTTTTAATCCTTTTGTGGCAGGAGTGAACCCTTGAACTATTTAATCTGATTTGCTTGGCTTTGACAGGCCTTCCCTAATTGCCTGTGACAGTCTGATCAGTGCAGCAGCTATTTACACTGGGAGAGGAGCCTGCGCTCTGGGGGAGAGTCATTCACTTGCTAAAGCAGCACAATCTGTCCTGGGGCTGAACTAGGAAAGGGCCAGGCTTGGGGAAAAGACAGAGGGCATGTGTGTGCTGATGCGGCACAGTGATTCAGAGAAGGGAGGCTGCCGGAGGGATGGTGTACATTAACAAGCTGCATTAACCCAGCACATCATGGATGGCAAAGGCCCAAGCTCCTGGCCCTGGTGCTTTTCCTTAGTCTGAAATAGCTCCAGAGCAGAGGCTCACAGGAGGCTTCCCACTCCACTCTCCTCTGGTCTCTTCACCCTCCTGCTTTTTCCTTGGCTGCCAACCTATCTCCTGCCCTCTGGGGACCAGGTACACGCTGCCAGTTCAGTTCATTAACATTCCTTGCACTCCACTCCTGCTGTTCTCCCAGGCCGGCTACTGGTTTTCAGGAAGCCCGAGCCTCAGGTGGCTGTTCGCCCTCCAAGATCCTGGTTTTGATGGCAAGATTTTAACTTTCCTCCTGCCAAGGTTCACGTATCCCACAGCACAGACTGGGTTGCTGTGTCCTCTACCCACACTGTTCTGCATAGTCCATAAGGAATCCTGGAAAGGAGCAAGCAGTATGTGAATGCCACGATATGAGTTGGTTTGTCTAGGGCAGTGTTCAACCTTTTTTCATTCATGGACCCCTAAAAAAGATTTGAGTGGAGGGGTGGACCCCTTTGAATTGTAAGTATGGGTATTCACATTTTTTGATTGATCATAATCATCTTTTGCAGATCCCTTAGACACAGTCTCCAGACCCCCAGAGGTCCATGGACTGCAGGTTGAAAACCACTGGTCCAGGGGATTAGAATGAAGGAAAGATCTGAAAATGCTTCAGCTTTATCAGGTTACAGGGTAGCTGTTTCCACTCACCCCTTTAGTTATTTCAAAGGCTGAGAAGTGGAAGGGTAATCTAGTGGTTAGTGAGCTTGTCTGGGGCTTCAGAGACTGAGGGTCACTTCCTGTACCTGCTACTGACATCCTGTGTCACTCCAGGGCAAGTTACCGTGGGCTATATCTGCTTAAAGGCTGAAGGGATTTAGGTGCCTGATATATAGATCCACAAACTTCCCACCAGCAGAGACATACCTAGGGTGGGGCAGCTGGGGCAATGGGATGGAGGGTGATGCTCTCAGTTATCATTGTGTTTTACCTAACAAGTGTCAGGTGCTTGCTGTGTACTCAGAGTCTGGCTGAAATGAGTTCCACTGACCATGATGATAATAGGCAAATTTTATTGATTCACAGTGATAGCAGATAAAAATAATGCAAACAATTCTCTATCTACCCATCCTAGAGCTGTCATCAGAGGGAAGGTACGTCTGGCCAGCGTGCAAGTTTCACTCTGAGGTTCTCTCTTGAATGTCAGATGTCAGTAGCCTGGAGGTTGGAGGCTGAGGCCCACCCACTGGTTGGGTGAGATTGGCTGGTGGTGTGCCCTCTGTCCATGATGGCCTTGATTTCCCCTCTTGGGAACCCTTTGCTGCTCTAAAATCCCTCCTTTTGTATCTTTTTCTCTCTGTGATGACTCTTCATCTTCGGGCAATGCTGATTGGTCTCTCTGTGGTTGTCATACTGTCCATGTTCTATCCTGTCAGCATATTCCTTTGTTTAAAAACCCATCACAAGCACATATCCTAATTTGGGCTTTACTGGTCTTCTCCTGAGTTGGTCTGTTCCCCCAAAATCAGTAATCCCAAGGGCCCTAAAGTTAGGCACTATGACTTGGTGCCACCTTGTCTTATGTTATGGAACAGTGTGGTACATGTCTTTAATTTCCCAGCCCGTGTGTCTACTTGCTGCTTGCCTGTCAGACAGAGCGGGCCTTGAAGAAAATTTGTCACAGACTGGCTTTTTAGAAATCAGTTAACCCTTGCTGTTGCCCTGGACCATTATTCTAATGTATATCTTTACCTATAAGCCAGTTTCCAAAAGCAAACCTCTAAGTACCATTTTCTCACCATCAACTTGTTTCTGCAGAAAGTGAAATCGGCAGAAACTCAGCAGGACATCTCAGATTCTGCAGCACCTCTTGAATACCAGCCCACAGACAATACTGTTGGCCAGAGAAGAGGAACCACTGAAGAACCTCGCCTTAAAGCAGCCAATGGCTCTGGAGACAAATTGAAGAAGAGTCACGTGGGCAACTCATGTGGTTCTGAATCATTCCAAACGGTCCAAGATCAGAGGAAGTATTTTAATTCATCCCTTCCTAATGCAGAAAGCTACCTCCCTAGGTATTATCCTTCCACAAATCACAAGGACAAATTACGGAGAACACAAACTCCCAGCCCGCTAGAAAAGGTGGCTTTTTATCCCCAGTCTCCACCAACCGCTGTGCAGTCTTCAGGGAAAGAAGGTAATACTGTACCTCTGGGGTTTGTTTGGAAATGCAGATCTGGTGCCTGAATAGCTAGAGCTCTTCATCTAGGGTATACAGATAGCTCTGTTACTAAATTATCTATGCATTGCACAGTCTCTAGCAAGTTTATCTTCATAGCTTCTTTGTGAAGTAGGGTCATGCAATTAGTCCTATTTTAAAGATAGAATCAAAGTTCAGAGAAGCTAAGGACCTGATCCAAGTTCCTCAGTGAGCATCTAAACAGGACCTTGGGGAAAACTGCTCACCAAGGGCAATCCAGAATAACCCCACTCCAGAACAGCTCAACCCTTAGAGTACCGACATTCATTTGGTACCTACATTTTGGCCTGACATGAACTTAGGCTTCTGAGAATGATCATAAGTGATGGAGTCTGAGTGGCTTCATGCCTTAGTTCTGCCTGAAATTCTTGCAAATGAGATCAGAGCTGGAGCAATGTCTTAGCTGAAAGGAAGCTCACTCCTTGCTCATCTAGGAACTGACACCCCCTGTAGCTGGTTTCACAAGGAGGTTTATAGAGTGGTGTTCTTAGATCCTTCAATGTGTTTTTATACCAAATGCTATACTAGAGGCACAGTTACAAACAGTGTGTGGGGTGGGGGGGAGGGTGTGTGCTGATTTTGGAAGTAAATGACAGAATTGTGAATTAGGCTGGGATGCAGAAGAACCCAGCTAACATCCTAACCATGGGGCCATCTTTCCTCCCCATAGTCCCCTCACTTAGGCTCCTCCCCGAATGTTAAGCAGCCTCTTTTCACACAGATGCTTGTATCCACTTGCATCACCTTCCTCTTCCCTTCATGCTGCTCACAGAATAATTTGTTCTACAACTGGCAGAATCTAGCTCAGCTGTATGGAAGTCATTGTAGCTGTACTAATCTATACCCGCTGAGAATATGGCCCTCCATCTTTACCAGAGTGGGAGCTAAAATTAGGGTATGGAGCCTTGGATCATAATGTACTCTCCTTGTAGCGCCTCAAGGGCCAGCATTGTGCAATCAAGAACCAGGTCACAGCTGGGACTCTTACCAGCAATTTATCCAGGAGACCTGCAGAGCAAGACAGCGAACAGCTAAGCAGAACAAGAGCAGGATTCTGGGCTCTTCCGTTTTCAGGGAAGGTTAGTAGATTTGGCACCATAGGCAGTGAGGAGCCCCCACAAAGGCTGGTTTTACTGTAGGTTTTGGGGTTAATGCTAAGAAAAGCACCAGGGAGAAGGGGAGTTGAATAAAAAAAGGATGAGGACATTTTAAAGCATTTCAGAGACAGGTGGAGGAAACTATCTCAGACCCCCACTGTGGCACCCACAATTCTACAGTGGATACAAGGTAGCTGGAGGTGCAAGCATTTGGATTGGCATCTGCGATTCATACTTGTGCATGGAAGATTTAGGGGAAGCAAACTGCACTCACATCACAGGAGGCTGGGGTCCAGCTCTTTGGAGATGTACTTATAATATGGAGAGTGGCATATGCGCAGGTTCCTGCAGAACTGCTGCTGGCTATGCGTAGATACCATCAGGTACACCACACATGACTCTTAGAATCCTGGAATCATAGGAAAGTAGGGCTGGAAGGGACTTCTGGAGGTCATCTATTCCAACCCCCTGCCTAAAGCAAACCATTTTATCCAAACCATGTTATAAAAAAACCTGATATCAAAACTACATAGTTAACCCTGTCCCACAAATAACTTCAACAACTAGAACTCAGAACAAGGAGAACAAAGCCAGTAGGGGCACTTGTACATGTGACGCCATTAACATGTGATGAAAATGCCATTTTGTGTGGCTTAATGGCATTACAGTATACACATGCAAGACTTTTGGGGGTTTTAAATGACTTTGCATCATTGAAACTAAACTACATCTGGATGTAGTTAGGTTTGCAATGTTGCAAATTGCAACAATGCAACTATCCAGCTGTGGGAGAAGTGGACAGGTTCTGCAGAAAAAAAGGATCATGCCCCTTGCCGCTTTTGCTTCTAGCAGGCTCCTGCAGCCAGCAGAATGGCTCAGGCGACTCAGGAATAGGCTGGCTTGCCCCTGGGGCAATATGAGAAGGCAGCAGGAAGGCAGATGGGTTTTCTGGCAGCTGGAGAATGAAGCAGGGATGGTACACAGTGCTCTGGAAGCCTAGGTGGGCTGCTAGCTGTCCAGCTTGGGCTTCCAGCACCCTGTACACCATCCTTACCACCTTCTCCAGCCACCAGCAAACCCAGCCACCCTCCTGCCACCTTCCTGTACTGCACAAGGGGTAAGCCAGTCCATTCCCAGGCAGCCCTGGGTGTCCTGCTGGCTGCAAGATCCTGCTTTCAGGAAGAAATGGCAAAGGGCCCAATTCTTGCTGTTGTGGAGCACCCCTGCCCCACTCCCCTGCAGCCAGCGGATGAGCTGCCAGTGTGCCAAGCAGCCCCTGAGCTTCAGGGAGACCTGGTCCTTCCCTCCAAGGCAGTGTCACCTCCCAGGGCTGTCTGAGAAGGCTGCTAGTGGGCCAGGTGCTGCCCCAGCTTGGGGGCAGCATCCAGGCCTATCCAACCCTTCCCCGAGCCCACCTACTGGAAGTCTGCTATGCACTGATCCCTGGGTGGGCTTGGGGAAGAATTGGATTGGTCTGGCTGCTGCCTCCGAGCTAGGGCAGCACCTAGCCTGTTAGTAGCCAACCCGGGCACCACCACTGTGGAGGGAAGGTCCAGTGCCCCCTGCAGCTCAGTGGCTGCTCAGCCCACCAGCAGCTCAACACTCGGCCATGGGCAGACTCTGGTTCTGACAAAAAAAAAAAAAAAGGATTGGGCCCCTCACTGTAATGCGATGGAAAAATTGAAATGGTTTAGTTGTCAGGATTTTGCCATGAAGTGAGCAGGGGTGATAGGCCTGATCCAAAGCCCAGTGGCGTAGAATTTCCATTGGCCTCAATGAGCACATCTTCACAAGCAGGAACGTACGTTCCCTGAGGACAAACAGCAGCAGTACATATTTATGACGCTGGTAGTTGTCCCCAGGGAACGTCCCTGGCATACAGCAAGTTGCCCCAGGTGGGGATGGGGAGGTTGGGGCCAGCACCTTGGCTGGCCCAGCAGCCTGATCCTGGGGGCCTCCAGAGCCTGGCTAGCAGCTGGAGCATGGCTCTGGCTAGCCAGGTTCCAATTTCAGGTGGCGCACACTGCCACCACATATCCTGCCCTGCTTTTTTCTGGTGCAGGTGCTCCCAGTGTCAAAAAACCCCTATCACGCTGCAAATTAGCAGTGCCTGCATGTGCAGTGTATGGGTCTGTGGCATCACAAGCCGCATGTGTGAGCTTGTGGGGGCATATCCAATGTAGTTTGGATTTGGTTCTGCGTCCTCTTCTAGAGCCAGGTGCAGCATCTCAAACCCTTAAGCCATTCTTACTCTGTCCAGCAGGAAGAATAGGGCACAACTCCATGGACCAGCACATTGCATTCTGACCAAGGTTCCTCTGAATTTGTGGGGTAGAAGGTGACACCCCAGAAAATGGCCGTTTACTCCAAATCAGCTCCTTCTAGTATATGGAGCTTGATTTTCTGGGGACAGAGATTATGGGCAGAGGGAGGGTGAGCCAGAACCCATGCAGCACAAGTGACTGCCCTCATTTCGTGCTCCCCTAGCTAGTTGCCTCTTGCCCCTTTTGAGGTATCATCACAGTGTAGCAACCCTAGGGTGAAGAGGCTTCTTCTTGAAGTCAGCCTTTGCATCTTTTATCTGCATCAGTCATCTAATAACAGTGCCTATCCAAGTCTTCCACCCTACATGTGTGTTTGTGATTAGACACTCAAAGAATATTAGAGAAGATGGTCCTGCCTTGGACAGGGGGTGGAAGTCATTTCCCTGTTATGATCCCCAGCTCTCCTCTACTACTGGCAGCAACAGTTGATGTAGGGAGTGTAGGCAAAATGCCAGTGGCCAATGGTGATTGAAGCCCTATATTTAAGCAGGATGAGATAGCAGCGTACTTCAAATATTTATGCAAGCCTGAACCTTCCTACTATGAAAGCTACCATCTGTGATGGTAGTAGCAAGATGAGGAGTAGGGAATTTTTAGGCAAAAAGTCTGCACTGTAGAGACCTATTGAGAAAGAAAGACAAGCCAGTGAAGTTCAAGATGAGACATAGCAAAGAGAATACAAGGTACTGGAGATAGGGAGGTATGGGAAGTCCTTTTAGTTATTTGAAATCTCCTCTCTTTTGCCAGAGCGCTTCAACATTGATAAGAGAAGTACCTATAGCACTGATTTCAAATCCTGGAGTGGAGGCTATGATGGGCAATGTACAGCACATAGGAATGTCTCCAACATTTTATTTCAAGATGGCTGCCACAACCAGTAAGACATACTTGGGGCTATAGGTGGGGGTGAGGGGGGTGGAGTAGGTACTGGGGTATTTTAGTTATCTTCAGTTTTTTAGCCACGGGATAAGGTTAAATGAAGTCATTCATGAGGCCCAGTCATGCTCCCCTGGGAAGATCTCATGGGAGGAGCTTACGACAGCTGGCAAACTCCATTGGCCATCCTTCCTAGGGCGACCTGAGAAACATCTCTAGCAGAAAGAGGGATGTTCTCAGAGGTTGAAGTATCCTAACACTATGGTAGTGTTGGAGTGATGTTATAGTTCTGATAGTCCAGGAAATATCCAAGAGAAAAGGTTATTGTGGGTGATATCTTTCATTGGACCAACCGTATAACTGGGAGGGATCTACACACACCTTGAGGTACCAGCTACCATTCTCTGGGTCTGAGACCTGAGAAGCCCATCTCAAATCAGGAATGGCAGGAGCTTTTGGCATGTCTCTCTCATAGGTACAATATGAGTAAACAGGCATGAATGCCCAAACTCTCAGAGTTGTAGATTAGCTTAGATCTCATTGGAAAGGTCCTCTACCCTCCCTACACCACAACCCCCCTGTAAACTGGCACTGAGGTCTTCCTTTTGACCCATGGCCTTGGAGCCACGGGATGGCTGAGGACTATCGATGGTATTACAGGTTCTTGCAACTTCTTGTCTAGGCTGGGAGTTTGACTTTATTATGGCCATATGAGTAGCTGCATTTATTAATTTTTGAGTATAGACAAGCAAGGCCATTACTCTTCACCTGTGTGGTTTATTCCAGTATCAAGCAGATGCAAATCACATTCTAATAGTTTTGCACCAATTCAGCTGCATGAGTGATGGACTAAATGCTGCTGAAATCAGGGCAAATCCCAGCCTGTACAGGTCACTAGCTCACAAGCATTTAGAGTGCGGTGGTGTTTACCTTTGACATTACCTTCTCACCGACTTGTTCTTGCATTCCCCAGGAACCCCTGGATTTCAGAATACAAGGACAACTACAGTGTTTTCTTGCAGAGGCTCAACTGGCCATCCCACAACTCCATCTCTGGTCTGTGTTCACCTGTAAAGCCCTTCTCACACCTTTCTCATGGGCTGTCACCTCAGAAGCCCATTGCAGTGAACACGGCCTTTTGAACATTGTTACAGAGTCAGTGCTGCCTTTAAGACTCTGGTAAGTATGAAGGTCAGCTCACCATGCTGAGATTTCAAAAAAGAAAAAGTTTATGGGAACATTTGCATAAACTGAGGACGTAAAATATAGAATCATAGAATCTTAGAAAATTAGGTTTGGAAAGTACTTCGGGGGGTCACATCTAGTCCAATCCCCTGCTCAAAGCAGGACCAGCCCCAACTAGATCATCCCAGCCAAGGCTTTGTCTAGCTAGGTCTTAAAAACCTCCAAGGATGGAGAGTCTACAACCTCTCTAGGTAACCCATTCCAGTGCTTCACCACCCTCTGAGTGAGAAAGTTTACCTAATATCCAACACTTCTTCTCTTGTGTTTTGGCCAACTCAAATCTGGACTACATTTTTCAAAATGTTTAAACAAATGAGGAAAGAATTTGAAAACTTTGTAATCTTTCCCCCTTTTCCACCACCGCTGATTGTGATTGGCAATGAAATAGCCCACATAGGAGACATGCAAATACTTCCTAGGGCTTCGGTTTCTGGTTGATGCACTTCAAGCTTGTAGGTCAAGGATGCAAGTGGTGTGGGAGGCATTTAGAGCCACAGGAACTGTAGGGATGGGAAAGACCTGCGAGTGAGATAAAACATCATCAAGACCTTGGAGTTGTTCTTAGCTTCTTAAGTGCTCTCCTATAAACTGGTAGCTTGTTACTCTGTCCCTGTGCCATGACTGAATAGATCATAGCATGATTTAGGTTACTCTTCATGAAAGCAGTGAGGCATGTCCTTACAGATTATTTCCAGTCACAAATATTCAAAACTGATGCGTGAGGCCCAAGGAAATCATGCAATTTAGCAAAAACATCATAAATGTTGGGATGTTTTTATTTGCTTTCTGATTTCAGGATTCCCATTTTGAGCTTTCCTTTGCAAAGATGTGGGTGGAAAATTTACTATTTGAAACCAGACCTGAGTAATCACTTGATTCCAGGATCTGAGACTTTAAGAAAATAAATAGCAACTAAAGTAAGACTTGCGGAAAAATAGCCAAAGCTGGCAACATGACCCAGTGCTGTCCCAAAGAGGGATGCTCCCCTGGGGTCTTCCTAAGTGATTTGCCCGTTATTGTCCATATTGAGAACTTGCATCCTGATACAGTAGAAGTAGAGTCTCGATAGTTCATAGGGTGAAGTGCCATAACCATTGAGAAGATGAGGGGTTGCATATCAACTAGGGGCTATTTACACTGTTCAGGGCACAACCATGGAGATCCTCTAGTTGATTGTCACAGCTTTTATTTCAGAGGACTCCATTTGACTGAGCAGCTGCAGGGAACCACTGACATGGTCCAACTTGATGGAGAAGTGGCACTCTTGGAAGTAAAAAATGTAGCAAGCAGCTCCATGGCTTGTCCTTCACTTGACAGCCCCCTGTGAATTAATGAGGGTAGCAAACTACCTGGATACAAATGATCTTGGTTCTACAGTATCTCGTGCTCTATCAGTTACCCATGCCTCTCTGTTTGTGATTGCAGCTCTGAGAGCTCTCCAACATGCCAGCCATGATATTATCTGGGAGACCATCGATGCCTGGGCAGCCCTTTGTGTTCCACATTTGTCATTGCCTTTATAAGCTTGTTTTGAAGTAATTCATACAGATCTGTCGGTATTCACATGTTTATTACACCTGAACCACCACACTGGTTTTAAACTCCAGATGAAGAACAAACTTCAGTTCAGTGAAATATATTCATCTGAAAAAATATTTAGAAAGTTCCCACTGGTTGTGTTATAAATAAAGTTGGTTTTGCAACAAGCAGCAGATTGGTTCCATTCATTCATTGTGTCAAAACTCCTTTCTGATCCCAAACGTGACAATTAGTTTGACCCAGGTAGGCTGACCCTTTAGCCAGGAACCTCTGTTGTTTTAAGTCCCTGGGAGAGCACTGGCATACCCCAGTCAAAATCCCCAGCCTTGTCCGCAGCTAACGACGGATGTGTCTGAGGAAGGCAATCCCCACCCAACACTAGTAGCAACAAGAGTGAAAAAAATTCTCCCCCAGTCCCATGTGGCAACCAGCAAAGCCCGGAGGCATGGGGAAAACCAAACACCCTCCACTCTGCTCTGCAACCTGGGGACAGCAAGCACAACTCCACACAAAACCCTGCTTCCCCCGAACTAGAAAGCCATAACTTCCTTTTCTGTTATTCCTGGCCCTCCACTAACTTTTTCCAGCTCTTTACTCTTGTTTCATAACTAAGTCAGCTATGGAGCTCTGCTTCATTCTCCTGCTCCGGGCTGCAAAGGTCGTCTTGTATTCACCCGGTAGCTTCCATGCGGGAGTCTCCTGGGTTTCCAGCTGTTGTTCTTCACAACACACTCTAGGTATTGCTACTCCTAAATCATCCATGACCAATGCTTATGGAACATGGAAATGCAGACTCTTCTTGAAAACCTCCAGTGAAGGAGAGTACACAGCTTCCCTAGGCAGTCTATTCCACCACCCTCCTGTTCTAACAGTGAGGAAGTTTCTCTGGGTAGCCCATCTAAACCTACTTTGCTGCAATTTCAAGCCATTGCTATGCATCCTACTCTCTGCAGGGAAGGAGAAAAGGCATTCTCCCTCTTTTTTACGATAGCCCCTCAGATATCATGTCCCCCTTGTTCACCTATTCTGCAAGCTAAGCATGCTTATTTCTCTCCGCTCCTCCTTGTATAGTCTGCCTTCCAAGCCCTTTTCTTCTCGTCTTGCAGGGGGGAGTTTCAGCAGTCCGAAGGGGTGTAACAAAGCAAGTCTGACCCTGGTCAAGCAGACTCAGAATGTGAGTGTAGGCCGTATGAAGAAATCCCCCTTTCTCTGCCCCTCCCTTGGGCCAAACCAAGTGACCCCTCTATCTCCTGGTTTTCTTCTTGATACAGGCTGGTCAATCAGGTGATCTGGCCAGCTAAATTCCTGGGCGGAGGGGGGATCATTCTCTTTCTGCAGTGGGCATTTTGAACGCAGCAAGCAAATACCCCAGGCTCCTGCCTGGAGGTTCTCTGTAAGTAAAAAACCTGGACACTAGCCAGGAGTTAGGAATTATGTGTAGGCCAGTCATGTTTTAAAAGGATCACTGAGTCCAAGACTGTATGAGACTCACATGCTTATGTTTGCTCAAAGAGTATTCTGACTTCCTAGTTCTAACCCTCTCCCTAACACCCCCCCCGCATCAATACAGGTATTGGGTTACAGCATGCCTTGTTGTGCTACTGTGGGCAGAGAGAAAAGAAGCCTTTCACTCCCAGCGTGGCCAGCGAAGTTTGTCTTTTTATTTTCCCTCAGTTACCTGATGCTATCTTTGGATGCTTCAGGCTGAGAGAAGCACCCAGAAATATTACTGTGGGCAAAGCACCCCCAAGGTTTGCAGGGTTTGTGTGCTCTGGGGTGCACAGAGCCCTACCAGAGACCACTGCCTGGGTGGTGGCAGTGTTACCCCAGGCTCACAGGTGTTCTCCAGGAAGCTGGACAGCTGGCTGTAGGTTCCCCAAGGGAGACTCCTGAAACATGGTTTTCGGTTTGGCACAGTGAGACGGGTGTCCGTGCGTAGTAGCACCCCTTACTGTGCACACCACAGGCTGTCAGAAGCCTTATGGGTGGCAGTGCCTGGACAGCTGGGATGCTAGCCCCTGACTGACTGAGGCTGCAAGGCCCCTACTTAAGTTCACCTGGGGTTCTCATCTGCATGTTTATTAGTCCATACATTTGCTTTAAAAGACTGGTGGTCTTGTTCTAGGATGGACTGTTCCTGACTCTGGTGGGTCCCATGGCTGTATGGCTCTGGTTCCAAACCTCAGCTTATATGACTGAGACATGATTTATAAAACTTATAAAACTCAGACATGACTGCCCATGTCTGAGTTGTGTGAATTAGGTCTGTTTGCTACTCTTTACCTGAACCTAAGATTTGCTTTAGCAAAGAAAAAATGCTAGATGTTGTTCCCTAGTTTTATGTGCTCTGTTTTAAGGCTCCAATGGCACCTGAGAACAGAACAGTAATGTGTACTTATGCCTCTGGGGCACTGCTTAAAGAGGGCAGAGTTAAGGTTGTGTTACATATGTGACATGTACCTTACCTGCTTTTCAGAGGAAACTGTGTACCTTCTGGTGTTCAAAGGTTTGAATTCACATTGCCTTTGTTTTTCATTTACTGATTCAGAGGTTTAGGTGTAGTTAAATTTTATGGTTTGGAAAGATGTTGAGCATTACCAGGTGACTGTAATTCTCTGTTCAAGAAAACTTTTGTTAGTGAATGTCCTAATTTGTTAACGGTTAAGGATCTGTTTGCAGAATGCAGTGTCCAGTTATCTCCTGGTTTTTCAGGTGGGGCTGGCAATCTGTAAATGTTGCTATAGGTTGGTAAATGTCCATCCCCATAGCATTTTATGAACATGGAAATGCAGACAGGTGCAGTGACAGAGCTGCTAAGACATCTTGATATGGCTCTGTAGAGGTACAACTGGGCTTCTTTTAGACTTGTGCCAAAGGCCACCACTAGTTGACCTGGCTGTAAATAGATACCTGGTCATTTGGTCTGGGGTGGGATAAAAGGTGGCCGGATATGATGCTAGCATCACAATTCCTTTGTGTGCTGCTTGGCTAAAAGTACTAGTGATCCTCAACCATGCCAGCCTGATGGACTTCACTAGGCTTGAGCGAAGCTATCCACATGTGGAGGCACTGAGAGTAGGGAGAAATCTTCAGAGACAGGCTATTTCACAAGCTTTATTCCAAGTAAGTTACAGTAATTTTGAAAGCATGAAAGGAGACTAGTGTGTGTGTCTCCTCCTCAACCTGCGATGTCCTGTCCCACTGTCTCTGATGTACTTAGCATTCTCCCTCTCTTTTCTTCACAGTGTTTCTAGCTACATCTGACTCATAGCAGCCTTGGAGCCCCAGAGTTGTACAGTATCTTACTTACCGTACATGCTATGGTGTTTTTTTGTGGGGGGTAGGATGGATCAGACCCCAGAGGCCCCTACTTTTCCAGGGCTATGCCCATCTCACTGAGCCTCAGAGCCACAACTGAAACCCCTATGCATAGAAGAGACCAGATAACTATGTTAAATGCTGTTTTTATAGTCACTGAATTTTTGGAGCCCTTTGTTCCAGAGTGCAATAGTTACTCTTTTTAAAGAGAAAGCCTCAGTCACCCTGAGCTCTCTCCAAGCTGATACTCCCATATGTTAGAAAGCCATCACAAGAGAGACTCACAGCATAAGCTTTTTATACTCTCAAAATGGAGCTACTATGGTCATAGGTCTTATAATGGCTTTGAGCATCAGTGTAAATTTAATCAGTAATGTAGCAGTAAGGCGGTATTCTGTCTACATAAGAGTTGCTGTTACTGCTGTAGTACTGCATGTTTGAATTTTGGTAGTAAGGCAGTATTCTGTCTACATAGGAGTTTCTGTTGCTGTTACTGCTATAGTACTGAGTGCTTGAATTTTGTTAGTGTGGTTGTAGCTTATGGGCTGTAAAGCAGCTTCCTTTTTTTCTCACTTTTATTGTAATGACACTGAAACACACCAATCATGGAGAAGAACCTTGCTATACAGGATGGCACTACACAAACATGAAACAAGATGATCTTGGACCAAAAAAGTTTACAATCTAACCTCTCTGGTCAATAGGATTTTCTTTTTCCATTTCCTATCATACCAGACACACCAATCTTGTTACACTTCACATGACTATTCTTTTTATGTTAGAATGACAGAGCTGATATTTGCCTTATTCATTGAAAATACAATACTCACTCCACCTGTTATATCAGAGGTGGTGATCCCTGCTGGTCTAACTCAAGTACATGAAGAAGAGTATGTACTTCAATTAAAAATAATATATAGACATGACCTGTATGATCCCTTGCAAAGACTTGTCAGCACTTAATAAAACACACCGAGGACAGACTATTTACACTGATGTTAGGATTCCAAGTGCCTTCAGTCCCTCTTGATGAATGAGGGAACATTGTACATGATCATTGAGAAGCTGGGTTGGAAAGAAATACTCTTCTTTAGATGTATCTAGGAGTTATATGGCTTAGTTGACTGGCTAAAACGCTTCATGGGGAGAAGCTGGACCACTGGACATTTGGTATATACCACTGAAGTCATACACATTCTGTACATTCTTTGCTTAAACTAGCCTTGAGGAACATTGTTTGTTATGATGTTCATGTTTTCAGGGAATTATATAAAAAATGGACTGCTTCACCTTAAGAAAAGCCTAATAATATTGCTTCTCTACAAAGGGATCTCCGGCAGCATTTATATGGCATTCTTCACCAGTTACGATGAAGAGAGCTCACAGACAACCTAGGTCAACCTGACATTCATTCCTGTGTGTGGGAGAACATTCCTCCTGAAAATTGGATTTGAAAGCCATATGAGAAGTCATAATCAAAGCTCAGGTAGATGAGAAATTGTTGGTTGTCATCATGATTAACAATGGACAACCATTAATCAAGGACCTACCTTGTCAGCTTCCTGTCTGATTTTTGTATTTATCATCCACTTGTGATGTCCAAATCTTACCATTTGGCTAATATCTGTTAAGTTGACATGATA